CATTTGGAATCCTCTTTGTGTTTCCCAGTTTTTTAAATTAATATTAAGTATAATCAATTAAATTAAATTTTGAAAAAATTAATGGATAAATTATTGGCAGAGATTTTTAAAACCAGCAGACTTCGAAGTAAGAACAAAGAGTTCTCTGCCTGAATTAAAGTGGTTGAATATATCCTATATATCTTCTGTTCATTTGCCTTAGTAAGATGCTTTGGCATTTATTTAAAATTTTCTGACACAAAGTGAGGCTATTTAATACTTTCAAATTCCGAATTTTATGTAAAAAAGTATAAGCAAACTACCAGTGGAACTTCCTTTGTGTTTGTCCTCTGGCCCATAGGTACCGTCAGAGCCTCCACTTACTCTGCTCTGGCCAGTTGCTTAGAGATGCTTATAATAACCTAGTGGTTGGCCCTGCCAGATGTCTGGACACTTCCATTAGAAAGATCTGCCAGTTTAAAGACTCGTCCTGCTAAACCTTTTTCTTGTTTTGGAGATGGTAATAGAGACCCTGGGTGGAGCTGAAGGTTAAGTGCTAGAATCCTAATCCAAAGGTTGGTGGTTGGAACCCACCCAGAGGCACTTTGGAAGGCAGGATTGACAATCTGCTTCCATAAAGTCACAGCCGTGAAAACCTTGTGGAACAGTGCTGCTCTGCAGGTTGGGTCACCAGAAGTCAGAAGTGACCCACTGCTAAGTGTACTAGGGTCACCGTAAGTCTGGGTTGACTCCATGGCCGCTAACAAGAGGGGGGAGATCAAGGGATTCTAAGAGAATATAGGAGTTGGGAGGATTGGTGATGGAGCTTCAGAGATGAGTTTAGAAGGAGTTGTCATTGTTGTTAGGTGCCATCAAGTCGGTACTGACCCATAGCGACCTTATGCACAGCAGACAGAAACCTGCCCGATCCTGGGCCAACCTCACTACTGTTGCCACGCTTGAGTCCATTGATGCTGCCACTTGGCCAATCCATCTAGTTGAGGGTCTTCCTCTTTTTCTCTGACCCTCCACCTTAACCAAACATGATATCCTTCTCCAGCGACTGATCCCTCCTGACAATGTGTCCGAAGTATGAGAGACAAATTTTGGCTATCTTGGCCTCCAAGGAGCACTCTGGCTGCACTTCTTCCAAAACAGATCTATTGGTTCTTTTGGCATTCCATGGCACTTTCAATATTTTCCTTCAATGCCTTAACTCAAAAGCATCAATTCTTCTACAGTCTTCTTTATTCACTGTCCAGCTTTCGCATGCATATGAGGTTATTGAAAATATGGCTTGGGTCCAGTGCACCTCAGTCCTCAAGCTGATATCTTTGTTCTTCAACACTTTCAAAAGGTCCTGTGCAGCAGATATGCCTAATGCAATACATCATCTGATTTTTTGACTGTTGCTTCTGTGAGTGTTGATAGTTGATCCAAGAAGAATGAAATCCTTGACAACTTCAATCTTTTCTCCATTGATAAGAATGTTGTTTATTGGTCCAGTGGTGAGAATTTTTGTTTTCTTTACATTGAGATGTAGTCAGTACCGAAGGCTGTGGTCTTTGATCTTCATCAGTAAATGTTTTAAATCCTCTTCACTTTCAGCAAGCAAGGTTGTATCATCTGCATATCTCAGGTTGCTAATGAGTCTTCCTCCAATCCTGGTGCCACGTTTTTCTTCATAGAACCCAGCTTCTCGGATGATTTGCTCAGCATACAGGTTGAATGAGTATGGTGAAAGAATTCAACCTTATGATTGGCCAAGGGGTTTATAGACACCATCAAGATGAGCAAAATAATATCATTTCACCAAAAAGAAAAAAAATCCACAGTAGTTTGGTATTGATGGTATACTGGAATATAAACACCTACCCACCCCCAAAATGGGAGAGATTGTGCAATAATTGATACCTTGAGGGGTTCTTGAGGAAAAATACCCCTAAACAAAAGATAGATACCTTCATATATATACTGTTCACATTACGGGAAACAAATAACTGGTCTAGGTACAACCTTCCCTACTCTTCTTTGGGGGGATGTCAGGCTCTGAAATTGCTCTTTGTTTATTTTTGTAACTTTTTATTATGAATTGAGTGATGGCTTACAGAACAGATCATCAGTTTTACATTGAATAATCGATTAATTTCACTGAGCAAAATATCCTCCAGGGTCTTCCACATTGTGAGGTTGTTTCCAGATCCCTTGTTATTCTTCACCGTTATGTAGTATTATTCTATTTCCATTGTATGAATGTATCAGTTTGTTTAACCATTCTGTTGATGGGCATTGTAGGCTGTCTTGATCTTTGTGATATGTAGACAGCTTATTGAAGGATCCTGTTTTCCATTCTTTTTTTGTCTCTTCACTGGTGCATTTAATCCATTTTCATTTAGTGTAAATATCGATGTTGTTGTTGTTAAGTGCCATCGAGGTGGTTCCGACCCATAGTGACCCTGTATAGGGTTTCCGAGGAGTGAGGTATGAATTAATTGCTGTCATTTTTTCTGTGTGTGTGTGTGTTTGGTTTTTTGTTTGTTTGTTTGTTTCTGTAGTGCTGCTAGTTTTTTTGTTACACATTTTCTGCACTGACTTCATTTTGGTTTTGGGTTTTCTTTTCATTTTCATTTTTGTTGTGCTAATGTGTACTGAATCTTTCTGATAATTGCTTTTGTTTTAAATTTAGATGTGTAGATATATTCATTTTCTTTGAGGTTGCCCTGTAATTCATTAATTTTTTTTCCATGCTTAAAAGAATCTGTTTTATCTTGATACCTACTTGATTTCCGTACCATTTGGAGGTTCTTTGTCTATACCATTCCCTCGTTTTGCTTTGTAGTTGACTTCATTATACATTGGCGTATCTGGTTTCCTATTTTTAGTCTTGTAGTTTTGTTTTACTTTAAATACTTCTGTATCTGGATTAAGCTCTAGATGGTGTTGGCATATATGGTCATCTCAGGTTGTTGTCTGCTGTCATTGTTTCTCAGTCCAAAGAATACCCTTTAGAATTTTTTGTAAAGTTGATCCGGGCATTACATATTCCTTTAATTTCTGTTTATCAGGAAGCGTCTTGATTTCACCATCGTAATTGAGTTTTGCTGTGTATATATGATGTTTGGTTGGCAATTTTTTTCTTTCAGAGTTTTATGTATGTCATCCTGTTGCCTTTTGCCTGTATAGTTTCTGTTGAGAAATCAGAGTTTAATCTTACTGGTTTTCCTTTGCAGATAACTTTGTTTCCCCCCTAACTGCTCCTCAGGATTCCTAACCTTGTCTTTTGTTTTGGAAAGTTTGCTTATGATGTGTCTTGGTGATTTTCTTTTGGGGTCTATCCTGTTTATGGTTCGTTTAGCTTCTTCAATGCTTAACTTTTTATCTTTCATGTTAGGGAGGTTTCTTCTAACAACTCTTCGACAGTTTTCTCTTATGCTTGTGTCTTTTTGTTCTGGAATTCTGATCACTAATAAATTGTTTGTCTTCATGGTATCCCACATAACTCTTAGGTTTTCTTTGGATTTTTTTTTTTTTTTCTGAAAACCATATTGGTATTGAGAGATTTATCTTGGAGGCTCACTAATTTGGGTTTCAGATTTACTCACTAATTTGGGTTTCAGATTTACTCCTTTGCCCTTTTAATGTATTGTCCATTTCTGAGATCTTGGTATTAATCTTTTGGATTGTTAATTGCAGGTTTTACATTGTTTGAAATTTTGCATGTATTTTATCGGTTCTTGTAACGTTTTCCTGAATTCTCCTGAAGTTTTTTCCCTGTTCTCTTTCTTTCTGTCAGCCCTTTGAAGTTACCCAAGTATCATTCATTTGGATTCTTTTTCAGTTCTGTTACCTTTTCTCTCTCAGAGAGGTTTTCTGGCTCTGCATCTTGGTCATTTGTTGAGCCATTCACTCTTCGTGTGAAGTAAAATGTCGGTAGTATCCTGGACTTTATGGGGTTGTCTCACTTGTATTTAATTGATGATTGTATATGGATATGTTCTTAGGCTCTCACCAGCAGTCTCTTGTGGGTGTTGTTAGAGACAGAGTGGACTCATGTGCACTGTTTTCCATTTACCATTCATGCACCTCAGTTTAGGGTTTGTATGGCTGGTATTAGTTGTTGTCTGTTGTTGATCAGGTGGTATAGGAGCTGGCATTGGTGCTTACCTAGTTGATGGATCTGTAGAGGCCACAGTTGTAGCTGGGCTGTGTGGACACAATCGCTGTCTCCTGTTGGGTGGGAAGTAGAAAACCCCTTCACCACACACACACACACACACACACACAAGAAAACAAAACAGAATAAACAAATAAGGAAACAACAATGAAACAAAAAATCCTGAAGAGGAAAATAAAAACAGGCAATAACCAGAAAAAAAGAGACCAAAAAATGGAGAGAGAAATGGAGCTGTAAAGAGAGAAAAATAAGGAAATAAAAGGGGGGAACACATAGCAAAATCAGTGAGAGGGAAGATGAAAAGAGAATGAGGGAGGGGAAGATGAGGAGAAATGAGAACCAGAAGAAAAGGAAAAGCTAAACCGAAGATAGAATTCAAGGGACTGGAAGGAGAAAAAGGAATAAACAAAAACAAAGCAACAACAAAAGGAAAGACAAAACCAAGGAAACAAAGGCAAAAACTCTAGGGGGCTCCTGTCTGGAGCTCATGCAGTGAGTGTGTGACAGATAGGACAGCAGAATTCTGAGCCCTCGTTGGAGTTCCTATTGGCCTTGGTGTTATCTATGTTCAGGACACTCAGTCCAAAAGAAGTTCATGAAGGCAGTGTCTGTTAGAACCACAGGGCAGCAGGTGGCCAGGGGGACTGGTTAAGTGCTGGTTTGGTGGTTCTTTGGGTCCTATAGGTGTGGAGCAGAGCCTGCCAGGCCACCTTCTATTGCCAAAGTTCTATTTCATTAAAATATCTTTTTTCATCATCTTATAAAAATAAAAAGCAAAAAAAAAAAAACAAACATTGTTTCTTTTCCTATTCCCTCTGTTAATACATGTATATATTTATCTCTACAGCCTGAGGAAGAACTTGATCCTGAAGAGAGGGACAACTTCCTCCAACAGCTGTATAAGTTTATGGAAGACAGAGGTATATCCATACGAATTACTTAAAATCTGTCATCTCTTAGAGTTTTACAAATTGGGTGTGCTAATTGTTTTATTCATCTCTTTTATAGCTTTGCCTTTTATTGTAGGCTTACATGTTGTTGTTTGTGTTGTTAGTGTATGGATATGAATTTCAAGTAATAACAGTTAACAGCTGACAGGAGTTCAATCTGTACAATCAAAACAAACTATATTAACATCTATTTTGAGAAAAGTGATGAAAAGTACTGTGAAGTTGTTGTTCAATGCGTTGAGTCAGTTCTGACCGTAGCGACCCTGTGTAGGGTTTCCAAGGAGTGGCTGGTGAGCTTGAACTACCAACCTTGTGGTTCAAACTGACTTTGCAGTCCAACACATTAACCCACAGCACCACACCAGGACTCACTGTGAATATAGTTACATTTAATTTCCTTGGGACTTTTAAAACTAAAAAAAATTTATCATATTTCAAAACTAGAAAGTGTCCAAGGATAATGTTTATCTGCATATTCTTAATTAGTTCCTGCTATGTTTTTAAGCTTTTCTGGTCCTAGGGTATAACAAACATAATGTGAGACCAGACCCAATCTGGATAGTATAGGATTTTTAATAGTTAGAAGAAAATGAGCCTCTTAAAACTGGTTGCTGTTGAACTTATATAT